CAGGTGGTCTTGAAATGAGCAATGGGGAAGCAACCCTTGATTCAATTTTAAATGGTGTTGCCCAGCACCCAATATAAGACACAAATGGCATTGAACCAATGAGAAACGATGTGCACGCTGTGATCAAATGTGACCTAAGACAAAAAGGGAGATATTTATTTATTTATTTATTTATTTATTTATTTATTAAAACATTTTTATGCCGCCCCATTCGCCGAAGCCTCGGGGCGGCTCACATATTTAAATTAAAATAATTATAATATAAATTAAAATATAAATATAAAATTAAAATACAGCAGTACAGTATAAAATAAGCCACCCTGGCCAGATAAAATCAATAATGTTAACAGTTAAAATGCCACTTGAATAAAAAGGTCTTCGCCTGGCACCGAAAAACAAATAACGACAGCGCCAGGCGGACCTCTCTGGGGAGCGCGTTCCATAACTTAGGCGCCACCACAGAGAAAGCCCTCCTCCGAGTACCCACCCTCCTGATTTCTTTCATGGAGGGTTCCCGGAGAAGGGCCTCCCACCCGATCTCAAGGGGCGGCTGGGCATATATGGATGCAAGCGCTCCTTCAGGTAACCAGGACCCAAGCTGTTTAGGGCTTTATAGGTCATCACCAACACCTTGAATTGGGCCCGGACTTCAATGGGAAGCCAGTGAAGCTGACGGAGAACTGGTTGTGTGTGCCCTGCAGGATACACAGTCACTTCGGTGGTGTCCACAAGACTTGACCAGCTGTACGTGGCAGGAGCACCGCGGTTCAACCACACGGGGAAAGTGATAGTTTTCACGATGCACACCAACCGGAATCTCACCATCCACCAGTCGCTGAAAGGCGAACAGGTCAGACATGTCTTTGCTTTTGGAGGTGGAGGGGCTGTTTAATGGCGCTCAGCTTCGGACATTGCTGAGCATCTGGATCTTCGGAGCCATTTTGAAGCTGCAGGGGCCTGCCTGAAACTGTGTGGGCCCATCCCGGAGCAACGAGCCTCGTGGGCTGATTACACAGGTAGAGTTTGTTGGTGGTGGTGTTGATGCTGATGCTGTTGTGATCTCTGACTCAGGTGACCCGTGAATGCAGCTCTCTGAAAAGTCCCACCCTTGGCAGCCCCGCTCAGCGCTTGTCAGCTCAAGGCTGTGGTGGACACGGAGGCAGGCCTGGCCTCTGAGGAGTCACTTGGTGGTCTCAAGAAGACCCCTTGTTGCGGGCAGCCCCTGGTTCTGCATACGCCCTTTCCACCTCTAGGCTGCAAAAAGCAATGCTTCCTTTTGCTCGGAGCAAACTTGCTCTCTCTTTCTGAGGCGGTGGGTTTCGCGTTTTCAGAAGCATTTGGAAAGCAGTGCCAAACCTCTCATGTGCTTCAAGAGAGACACAATTTTGGGGCCAGCCTGGAAGACAGTCAAGGACCAGGAGACTCCCAGGCTGTCTACTCCTTAATGCAAATAGGTTTGAATCCCACTGTAAATAAACCCGCCATTCTTTCCACAGAAGCTAGGCAAGACAGGATCCCATAAACAGGAAGCAATATCGTTGAAAGAGGCGGCAAATGTGCTCCTTAATCTACCAGCATCTGTTTTTTAATCTGCCTTTTTTCCAGGAACGGTGCCTAGACAAGGAGGTGATGGATTGTTTCCGTTCCAGAATATCTCTCATTCCAACCATATCATTCCAGATGCCATTAATTTATTAGAAAAATGTGCAAGTGTCCAAAGAGACAATCCCCCAGTAGCCCTCATTCCACATGGGTTTCGTTTGTTTTCTTGCTCCCTGTCTGTGTCAGATTGGTGCCTATTATGGCAGTGAGATCAATTCGGTGGATGTGGATGGAGACGGAGTCACGGATGTTTTGCTGGTTGGCGCCCCCATGTACTTCAGCGAAGGAAGGGAGAGAGGCAAGGTGCACGTCTACCACCTGAAAGAGGTACTCTCCTTCGCCGTGCGCCCTCACGCTTGCATTTCGCTCCTGGCCATCCAAACGCCGGTGCTCCCCACTGCTGGAGTGCGAGGGTCCCATCCCGAGGTTCATCACAGGAAGGGAAGGCCTCACCCGGCAGACTTGGGTCGCGCAGAAAGCAGTGGCCGAAAAGCCGCTTCCCTGCCTTGCACTCCAAGGAGGCCCATCACTACAGAGAGGAGAGTCCATGCCCCTCTTCCCTAAATCTGCAGCCCTAACGCTCCCTTTCTGGAGCGCCGCCGTCATTAGACCCGGCTCGTCAGTCGCCCAGGTCATGTAGCTTTAGGCCCATCTGGATTTCACCGACCGATAAGCAGCCATGGAAGCGGGTGGGGAGAGAAGAGGGCAAGGTGCCTGTGCTGGGGACACCCAGCCTGCGGCAGCAGGGTCTCACGGTGCGGCGTGGAAGCAGGACAACGAAGCCAGAGCGGGCTTTGTCCGGGGCGGTGCCCCTGAGGCTGTCCTTAGGCTGCCGCTACGCAGAAGAGCACAGAGCCCTCGGTTCTGGAATTGCGCCAGGTGCTGCACAAAAACGCCTCCTCCACGAGGCTGCAGTCGCTTTTGGCCTCACCTGCAAGGGAAGAGAAGCTCTTTGCGAGATGGCAGCGCCAGCTGGCGTGTGGGCAAGGTGAGCCTCCGCAGGCAAGGAGCTCCGAGGCTCCGTCGCCTCCACCGGGAGGGCAGCCTTCCCCGTTTCCCTTCTTGTAGTTCAGTGTACACAGATCGCAGTCTTAACGTCGGGGCGTGCGCAGCGCGGCCTCGTATTCATCCTTTTCATTACCTTCCTCGCCTGCCTTTTTCGGGGCCAAGCTGCACGTGTAACTCACACCTTGCCCCTTCTGGTCATCTCGCCGAGGGGGCACGGTCTGAGGCTGCCCCGGTATTTGCTGACCCCCGTCTTTCTGCATGTTGTCCTGGCTCTGAAGGACCGGTTTGTTCCCAGCGGGGCCCTAAAAGATTTGCCCAGCTACCAGAACTCCCGGTTTGGGTCGTGCATCGCGTCCGTCGCGGACTTGAACCAGGACTCTTACAACGACGTCGTCGTGGGCGCTCCTCTGGAGGAGGAGCACCGGGGAGCGATCTACGTCTTTCACGGCTACAGGGAAGACCTCCTGCGGAACTACAAGCAGGTACAGGGCATCTCTGAGCTGACGGGAGAACCCATATTGCGAGGAGAGCGGAGATGTTGGCACAGGGGCCGGATGGACGGGAGAGGGGGCAGCACACAGACCGCGACTGGGACAGCGGTGGGAATGGCAGGAAGCGCCTTGGCCGTCTTGGAACACCTGCTCCACTCTGAGCAGGCTGAAATAGGCCGAGCTGCAAACGGCGCTCCTGGGGTTTCCTTCCAAGGAAAACGAGCCCTGAACAAAGGCAGCATCCCTGGAACTTCTTAGGGAAGCAGGCTGCAAATAACACCGGAAGGAATCGGCTGCTGGTCGTGTTCCCATGGCAACAGATTGCCTGATTTACCTAATAGAGAAGATAACTGGCTCCTTAGCCATTTCGGGTCAAATGAGCCTTGCTTGCCGCTGATGGAAAATGTAGAGGGTGGAGCAAGGTGCTGAGCACACATCTTTAGGGCCCCGATTCAGGGCCTGGACGGCACCTGGTGGCTCATTTCCCTGCCCTCTGCATGATAGTTGCATTAATTAGTGTAGCTGCACAGGTTGCCTTGACATTCGACCTTGGTGAAGGTGCATAACTAGGGCGGTGTACGCCCCACCCCCAAACCCACGGCTTGTTCAAGGGTTGCTGGGGGGGGTGCAAGCCACGCACCCCCCCGGCTGGCCTTGTCCGTCACAGCAAGCCTTCTCTGGGGAGCGTAGTTATGCCAGCGAGGCAGCCGGCCCCTGATGCGCGAGCAGAGAAAGCAAGGCAGCGTGGCACCTTTCCCCCTCTGCGATCACACGAGCCTTCCCAGGTTCCGGCCTGGCCCATCAAAGAGACTCGGGTGGAGGGGCTGGAGAGGGGCTGGGAACACAGTGGCCAGTTAGGGCCCCCCCCCCCACAAGGTCAGCTCATGCAGATGCACTTTGAATCGATTTATTAACACAAGACAAGCAGCAGTACATCCAAGGGGAAGCTCTGAAGCGCCCCCGACCCAGAGGTGCGTGCGGCAGTGCAGACAGGCGCCAGCCGATGCCATCCGGCCGCGCACCCCCGGGGTGCCGTGCTGCCCCTTTGGCCGCTTTGCCTGGACTGCGGCAGCGGCACTCCTCTTGTGCTTCTTTCAGAGAATAGCCGCGGCAGACCTTTCCCCGGGCTTGAAGTACTTTGGGCGCAGCATCCACGGGCATCTGGACCTGAATGAAGACGGGCTGGTAGACCTTGCCGTGGGCTCGCTCGGAAGTGCCGTCCTGTTATGGTTGGTCATCCGGAATGCATGGCTGCTGAGGCCCGTTTTCGGGGTAACACGTGTCTGCAGACTCTGGCGAACGCTGCAGCCTTGGCGGCCGGCACGGCTGGGAATGCTCCCCTTGAAGCCGGGTGAACTAACCCAGGCGGCAGATCATCCGCTGCCTGGCTTGGCTGTATGCTAACCGCGCCAGGACAGATTCCCTCAGGGCTGTCTCCAAGCCGAGCATCTCTGAGACGGCTGTCAATTGCGCCTGTATGCATTTTCCCGCCCGTGAAACAATAGCGAGGCAGTCCGTCTCGCCAGCTCTCTCTCAGCAGCCACTGAACCCCCTTCCAAGCGCTCAACCGGCACCTTGGAGGGCTGGCAGACAATTTACGCAACTGTGCAGGCAATATGCACAGGGAAGCTTGCTCTGTTGTTAACTTAACCGTGCTTGCGCAATTGCAGAAGTCCACAGTCTGGCAGATGTGGAAATGTCAAGCCTTGGCTGGGTCGACATTCTCAAATCCAGTCCTGGGTTTTGATGCAAAGACACTCCAGATAGTGTCTTCCTTTCTTGTAAGTCCTCTTGGCAGGTGTGAAAAAGGGATCTTTGCTTATGAACAGGGAGTTACCTTCCCTTTGCACTGCAAGCCTCATCTTTTTTTCTTCTCCTTTATTGCCTGATAGATTTCAGGGTGATGCATTTTGCTCTCTTTCCCAAGATCTGTGTCTGAGGCTTTTCTGGAGTTTTTTGATAGCTAGCTATCAATAACGGGTAGCCATGGGCGATATCCAAGGAGACACCAGCATGCGGATGCAGTCAAACTCAGGAGAAAAATCCAGACTGAGAGCTTGCTAGGCAACTTTTCTTTTAAAATAAAAGTGATTAATTTGTGTACACTTTGGAAAAAAACTTAACATGCTGTTTATTTTGGCCCTAAGAGAACACCTGGCGTCTTCCATTTTTAGGTCTCTCTCTGCATACATGTGTGCATTTCTCAACCAGCGGGGTACATTTTAATCAATCAGATGTTTTTAGTATGCTAATCAGACTAATAATTCAATTCACATTTCAGCTATTGGGTAGCATTCCAAAAATATATTAAATGGTACCGTATTTTCCTGGCCATCTTCAGCATGTCCTTGTGAGACAGATTAGTCATAAAGAGAGCAGCTTGTCTGAAGCCCAGTGAGTTTCATAGCAAAGTGGGAATATAAACATGGATTCCTACCCTCCAAACCGGAGGTGAAATTAAATTAAATTTTAAATTAAATTGAAAGGGAAATTATTCAGCAAGTTTTGTTGTAATTATGTGTACTTCCAAATATTAGATACAAATTTTAAACAAAATGTCATTACAATATTCACTGCAGCAAATTATGCAGGTTTTTAGATACTTTTGAAAGTAATGGTGAGGAGTGCTGTCTTGCGCAAGCAAATGTTAATTCGGGATTTGTCTTAATTCTGAAAAGAAGGCAAATTATGGTTGATGCAAAGCCACTTCATACCTTTAAGTCATTCCAAGCTTACATTTGTGATGAAGTCTGCAAAAGCTTACACCATAATAATTATGTTATAGGACTTTTGGTTGTTCAGACCCTGGTTTCTAAGCCACAGTTTAGCTATGGTTAACAACCACTTAACCATGATAAAGAGAGGCATACATACAACCGAGCTGACGTTTTCCCTGCTCAGTTCTGTCCACACCGCAAGATCTTTGCCCAGTGCTGCCCGTCTTGCAATGGTGACTCAAACAGAAGCGCCCATTCTCAGCCACACATCCAGGGAATTTCTGGATTGGCTCAGGACAGACTTTGCCTCTTTTCCGTAAGGTCCCGCAGCGTCGTCCAAGTCAATGCCAGCATCCACTTTGAACCATCCAAAATCAACATTTTCAACAAGGACTGCACACGCAACGGGAAGGATGCCACTTGTCTGTCGGCCGTCGTTTGCTTCACCGCCATTTTCCTCTCCGCTCATTTTCAGATGGCAAGTGTGGGTAAGTGACCACCCCATTCAACCTGTAGGGAGAGTTGTCTCCCCACAACATAACAGTGCCAGTGCTCTGGGCCTCCGAAGAGACCCACCTTTTAATTTCTAAAGAACCTCTGCACTAGCAACCCCCGGTGGGAAGGCAGCAACAGATGAACCACCGGCCTCGTTAAAACTCAGTAAGGCATCTATAAGAATTGGGGTAACTGAACAGGTGTGGTGAGAAGTCCTTAATTCCATTCTTGCCTCCCCTGGATGGTTTTAAGTAGCCTCCATCTCTTAGCCTCAGGACTCCCATCTCAATACCATGTCTGCGGGATGGGAAGAAAAATACCAATTTTGCCAGTTTGAATCGAGGATTTTTCCTGTTCATGACCCTCTGCAAGCTATTTGAATGAGCAGTATTCATTTCCACTCACACCCCAGGAAAAGTGGGGATTTAATCATTCCATCCTGGGAGTGCAAAAGTATTTTTAGAACATAAGAACAGAAATGCTCAGAAGGAGTTGTGACGGCACCAGGAATGCTGTCTCTCCACTGCACGGCGAGGTAAGAGCTTGCTGCCCAATTTGCACAGATCCAGATGTGCAGCAAAAGCTGGAACGGCTGCTTTCTTCTCCTTTCTTCTCCTTCTCTTCTCCAATGATGGGACGCTTTTTGAGCTTTAGAGAAGATGGATCAAAATGTGGATTCTTCTGTCAAATGGATCCTCTTGTGTTTCGAGGTTGTTCTGCAATTTTCTGTGTGTGTGAGAGAGAGACATTTGACTTGCACTGAACTGGGTGGTAGCTTTATTCTTAGGTTCCTTGGCGGGTTCTCAATTTTGCTTTTAATGTGTTTGTTTTATGATTGTTTTGCTGGTGTTTTTACGCTTAGTTTTATTGTTGCTGAGTACCATTTCTTGGAAGAGGGGAGAATTATAAATTAAATCAATGCATAACTAATATGTATTTAGCTCTGAATCAATTCTTTCAGCACTGAATTACTACATCACCATTGACGAGCGACGGTACATCCCGCGAGCCCACCTGGACGAAAATGCGGACCGGCATGCCCACAAAGTGACCACCTTGTTTGCCGGGCGAGAACAGTGCACCAGGCTGAACTTCCATGTTTTGGTAAGTGCTTGGAGCATCTTCCCAAGGAGACAAGAGAAGCCAAGGCACACGTCTAAAATAAATGGGCAGATTATAAATGGACCAAGTGCCTTTACACTCTGCTTTCGGTAATGTGCCAACAAATCAACAAAAGCTACTAGCGCACAAAAATGTTTACTAGTCACTGGGCCTATGCATGGATCACTGCCTTGTCGTGGCGAAGGGGCTTGCGTAGCTCAATGAAGCTGTGAGCCATGCCGTGCAGGGCCACCCAAGACAGACAGGTCATAGCAGAGAGCTCTGACAGAAGCTGATCCACGGGAGAAGGAAATGGCAACCCACTCCAATACCTGTGCCATGAAAACCCCATGGACAGTACCAAAAGGCAAAAAGATATGACGCCGGAAGATGAGCCCCTCAGGTCGGAAGGTGTCCAGTGTGCTACTGGGGAAGAGCGGAGGGCTAGTACTAGTAGCGCCAGAAAGAATGAAGCGACTGGGTCAACGCCGAAAGGACACTCAGTTGCGGATGTATCTGGTGGTGAAAGGAGAGTCCGATGCTGCAAAGATCTATACTCCGTAGGAACCTGGAATGTAAGAACCATGAATCAAGGCAAGCTGGACGTGGTCAGACAAGAGGTGACAAGACTGAACATCGACATCTTAGGAATCAGTGAACTGAAATGGACAGGAATGGGCGAATTTAATTCAGATGACCATCAGGTATACTACTGCAGGCAAGAATCCCTCAGAAGAAATGGAGTAGCCTTCATAGTCAGTAAAAGAGTAGGAAAAGCAGTACTGGGATACAATCTCCAAAATGACAGAATGATCTCAGTTCGAATCCAAGGCAAACCATTCAACATCACAGTAGTCCAAGTCTATGCCCCAACCACTGGTGCTGAAGAGGCTGAAGTTGACCAGTTCTATGACGGCCTACAACACCTTCTAGAATTAACACCAAAAAATTATGTCCTTATCATCATGGGGGATTGGAATGCTAAAGTAAGAAGCCAAAAGATAACCAGAATAACAGGCAAGTTTGGCCTTGGAGTACAAAATGAAGCAGGACACAGGCTGGTTGAATATTGTCAAGAGAATACGATGGTCATAGCAAACACTCTTTTCCAAAAACCCAAGAGACAACTCTATACATGGACATCACCAGTCAGTCAACACAGAAATCAGATTGACTATGTGCTCTGCAGTCACAGATGGAGAAGCTCTATACAGTCAGTGAAAACTAGGAGCTGACTGTGGCTCAGATCATGAGCTTCTTGTTGCAAAATTTAGGCTTAAATTAAAGAAAGTAAGGAAAAGCACTAGGCAACTCAGGTATGACTGATATCATATCCCTGATGAATATACGGTAGAGGTGACAAATAGATTTAAGGAATTAGATCTGATAGACAGAGTGCCTGGAGAACTATGGACGGAGTTTCACAACATTGTACAAGAGGTAGCAACTAAAACCATCCCAAGAAATGCAAGAAAGCAAAATGGCTGTCTGAGGAAGCTTTACAAATAGCTGAGGAAAGAAGGGAAGCAAAAGGCAAGGGAGAAAGAGAAAGGTACACCCAATTGAATGCAGAATTCCAGAGAACGGCTAGAAGAGATAAGAATATTTTCTTAAATGAACAGTGCAAAGAAATAGAAGTAAGCAATAGAATAGGGAGGACCAGAGATCTCTTCAAGAAAATTGGAGATATGAAGGGAAATTTTCATGCAAAGATGGGCATGATAAAGGACCAAAATGGCAGGGACCTAACAGAGGCAAAAGAGATTAAGAAGAGATGGCAAGATTACACAGAAGAACTATTCAAGAAAGAGCATAACATCCCTGATAACCATGATGGGGTGGTCGCTGACCTCGAGCCAGACATCCTGGAATGTGAAGTCAAATGGGCCTTAGGAAGTCTGAGCAACAACAAAGCTAGTGGAGGCGACAGTATTCCAGCTGAGCTATTCAAAATATTAAATGGTGATGCAGTAAAAGTGCTACACTCAATATGCCAGCAAATTTGGAAAACTCAACAGTGGCCGTAGGATTGGAAAAGGTCAGTTTACATTCCAATCCCAAAGAAGGGCAATGCCAAAGAATGTTCAAACTATCGCACCAACTGCACCCATTTCACATGCTAGCAAAGTTATGCTCAAAACCATACAAGCTAGGCTCCAGCAGTATGTAGACCGAGAACTACCAGAAGTACAGGCAGGATTTCGAAGAGGCAGAGGAAATAGAGATCAAATTGCCAACATACGCTGGATCATGGAGAAAGCTAGGGAGTTCCAGAAAAACATCTACTTCTGCTTCATTGACTATGCTAAAGCCTTTGATTGTGTGGATCAAAGCAAATTGTGGCATGTTCTTAAAGAGATGGGAGTACCTGACCATCTTTTTTGTCTCTTGAGAAACCTATATGCGGGTCAAGAAGCAACAGTGAGAACTGGGCACGGAACCACTGCTTGGTTCAAAATTGAGAAAGGAGTTCAGCAATGCTGTATACCATCGCCCTGCCTATTTAACTTATATGCAGAGCACATCATGAGAAAGGCGGGCCTAGATGAATCACAAGTTGGAATTAAGATTGCTGGGAGAAATATCAGCAACCTCAGATATGCAGATGATACCACTCTCATGGCAGAAAGTGAAGAGGAACCAAAGAGCCTCTTGATGCGGGTGAAGGAGGAGAGCGCAAAAGTTGGCTTGAAACTCAACATTAAGAAAACTAAGATCATGGCATCCAGTCCTCTCACTTCCTGGCAAATAGATAGGGAAGAAATGGAGGCAGTGACAGATTTTATTCTCCTGGGCTCCAAGATCACCGCAGACAGGGACTGCAGCCAAGAAATTAAAAGACACTTGCTCCTGAGGAGGAAAGCTATGGCAAATCTAGACAGCATACTAAAAAGCAGAGACATCACCCTGCCAACAAAAGTGCGTATAGTCAAGGCTATGGTTTTCCCAGTTGCAACATGTGGCTGTGAAAGGTGGACCATAAGGAAGGCTGCGTGCCAAAGGATTGAGGCCTTTGAATTGTGGTGCTGGCGGAGACTCCCGCGAGTCCCTTGGACCACAAGGCGATCAAACCGGTCAGTCCTAGAGGAGATCAACCCTGACTGCTCTTTAGAAGGCCAGTTCCTGAAGATGAAACTCAAATGCTTTGGCCACCTGATGAGAAGGAAGGACTCCCTGGAGAAGAGCCTAATGCTGGGAACAATAGATGGCAAAAGGAGAAGGGGAAGCCAGAGAAAGAGGTGGCTGGATGGAGTCACTGAGGCTGTCAGTGTGAGTTTAGGTGGACTCTGGGGGATGGTGGAGGACAGGAAGGCCTGGAAGAGTGGTGTCCATGGGGTCGCGATGGGTTGGACACGACTTTGCGACTAACAACAACAACAACATGACTGACCTGCAAGACAAGAACAAGCAGTGCCTTCAGTTCACTTGTCCGCAGGCTGGGGGCAGCATCTCCATGCCTCAAGCAACTGGACAAATGCCCCCGTAGGACCCCCACCATGACAGAGATCTCTGCCTTCCCCTCCTTCTTTTCATTACCGGGCTTGGCTCTTTGTCCAAAGAGAGTCGTTTTTCTCCTAGGATACAGCTGATTACGTGAAGCCCGTGACCTTCTCCATCGATTATGCCCTGGATGGTCCTGACAAAGGGCCGGTGATGGACGATGGATGGCCGAGCTCCCTGAAAGTCGCTGTGAGTAAAAGTTTGTCACACGGGAGGGAAGGCTGAGTCTTGGGAGCTTTGCTCGACCGTGTTCCTGGACCACTTCGCAATCTTCTCGCACTCTCTGGGGGTGGAAGTGTTTGTCCTCCGGGAGCCAAGAGCCTGAGAGCAGGGGTGGTACCGGGGGGGCGGCTGGCTGGTCGAGGCGATCGGAGGACAGGGGCCAAGGGATGTGTTTGGCATAGCATTATACACGCTTGCTGCAAAAAGTCTCTTATGCTTTCATAAACAAATCAAAATTGTTAGACGAGCTGCCTGCAGATGCCTCTCTGTAGAGGCTTTTTGGAGGCTTCTGCCTCGCGTTTTTCAGTCCAGGCCTTGAGAAGCGTGGACTAGTTCACGCAGTGCTGGTGAGCTGGAGCAACCGAAAAGGAAGGGCACCCCTGCCACCAAGACCTTGGTCCTGCGTCTGCCTGTCAAGGGATCCTGCGCTTAGTTGGGGCCATGCAGAGACGGCGAGGGTGCCTAGTTTATAACATATAAGGTCACTGTGCTGGGTGCAAAACAAGGAGCCACACTCTCTCCCCCTGCCCCACAGGTGCCTTTTTGGAACGGGTGCAACGAGGATGAGCACTGTATCCCCAATTTGGTCCTCGAGGCCAAAACCGATATTCCCACTGCGATGTGAGTAGAATGAAGGTCTGGGCAATAATGCGAACAAGTGGGCCGGATCTGGGAAATCAGGCTGCAGGCTTAGCTCCCGGAGATGCTCAGGAAGGAGTCACTTGAAATTGGAGGTCCCCTTCTTTCTGGGTCCCCCGAGCAGGCAGAACCTTCTTGCAAGAAGCAGCGCACACAGTGGCAAAGAGCCACCCGGGGAGGGATTTGGGATGAGGAACTAGACCGGCAGCACCTTTCAGATTAGAAGGAGCCCTGCTAAGCCTTCACTGTTGTTATTTTCGGGGGGCCTGGCTCATTTAATGTGCTGCCCATTTTCTGGCCACGCTGCACGTGACTCGAGCGCCTGGGCCACTGATAGGTCCACCCTTTTGGGAATCCCCTGCCCGGGGAGATTATGGGAGTCCCCCAGCATGTAGCTGCAGGTGGGGCAGGCACTGCGGCGGCTGTTGCGTTAATGTTTGCTCTTTCCATAGGGAGTATTGCAGGCGTGTCCTGAGAAAGTCGCACTCGGATTGCTCCGCCTACACGCTGTCTTTTGACACCTCCATTTTTGTCATAGAGAGCTCCAGGAGGAGGGTGGCCGTGGAAGCCACGCTGGAGAACAGAGGGGAAAACGCGTATAATGCCATTCTAAACATTTCCTTCTCAAGAAACCTCCAGTTTGCGAGCTTGATCCAGAAGGTAAGGGAGCCCACGGGGCCTTTCTCTCGGGGTGTGAGCTTTGGCAGCGGCTGGCGGGAAGCACCCCCAGGAGTCACGGCCGTTGCACCTTTGCGTGGAATGAACCGGGCGCACGAGGAGCCGAGGTGCTTGCGGGTGCAGCTGCACACGCTGCCAGTTGCCTTGTGCCGACCGGCCAGGGTGCGCTTGCTAGGGCTGAGTGGCTGGTGCCTGTCACGCCTGCGTGCGCGCGCGCACCTCAGAGGAACCGTGCGCATGGGGTGCTCGTGGCAACAGCCCCAGAGCGGGGGAGGCGTGGCTAAATCGCTGGACGCCGGCACCTGCGTGTGCACAGCCTCGCTGCGAGCAGTCGTGCCGGGGAGCTGCTCCGCCCTTGTGTGAAAATGCAAAGAGCAGCCAGGATGGGGCCGCTCGTGCTCCGGACCGGTGCCGGCGAGCCGAGGGATTTGACCCACTGGTGCCGCAAGGGCAGCTTCAAGCCGGCCCTTTGCATGAGGATTAATCCCCCTCCCTCCTTGCCTGCCACCACCCTCACTTTCCGCATTTCCAGCCGCCGGCACGCATCAAATCTCGCATTCACTTTGGCCCTGAATCCAGGAAGGTGCTGGAGTGAAGGGTGCTGCACCTCCTGGCGCACGAGAAATGGTGACGGGGCTGGGAATAACCGCGGGCCCATGCGACCCATGGCTGCTGTGGTACCAACCTCCCTCTTCCGGATCGTCCCCAGTCTGGGGCAAGCAGCACGGCCCGGAGGTGGAGGGCGATGGTGGCGGTGGTCCAACACATCTGCAGGGGACCGGTCTGGGGACGGCCGCTCTAGGGGAAGCGGACTTCAGGCTTGGGCTAGGAGCGTTCGTCTGCAGACCTCGTCCCACCCTGAGAGCCTGAAGCACCTGCAAGGAATCAGCCGGCCCCTTGGCACAGCGCTGCCAGCGCCCGGGTCCCCCGCAGAATTGTTTGCCTCCGACTCCTGGAGGAGGAGGAGGTCCCTGGCTGGCGCAGGCAGGTCCAAGCTGCTCACGGTGTGCTCCTCGTCTCCCCCCAGGCGGCCTCAAGCTTCATCTTTAAACCGTGCCTCAGCTAACCGGTCCCCATTAAGGGAGGGTCCCATCTCTGGCGACTGACTGGCCCCACCCGGGACCCCAGTGAGGTGTCTTCCCTGTGCCCTAACAACTCGGTCAGAATTCTGCCTCGGCCAAAGGATTTCACGGCCAAGAAATGTGCAGGTGGCTTTTTCAAACAGCCATGCAGCTTCCTACGAGGTCGACGTGCCCCGGGAGAACGCGGCCCGCCCCACAGGAGAAGCATCCCAACGTCTCCTGTCTTCCAGGGACGGGTCCCGGAAGCGAAGCGCTCTGCGGAGAGCTGGCCGGAACACGTCTCCCTGGCGCAGCTTTTCTGCTCCATTATCCATCCCCTTTGACACGGCAGGAGCCCAGCCGCCGGTCCTGGACCAGATCAAGGGCCCAGGTGCCCCAGCCCCGGCTCGCTGGAGGTTCTGGGAAGGTGCAAATGTGCACAGCCACCGTGTTCCTCCCCTGTCCGGGACGGAAGGCGCACTTCAGGAGGGACTCTCGCCCCCTGTGAGCAGCACCGGCTGGCAGGTGGAGCTGGTGGCGCTCTGCAGTCCCTGTCGCTCCGCGCTTTACATTTTTCCTCCCCCTCTGTGGTTTCCTCCTGCAAACAAAGGAACAGACTGCAGAAGTATTTCCTGTATCTCCCGAATCCCCAGCGCCAGGAAGAGCTTTGCATGAAGAAACTGCAGCAGAACAGTATGTGACAAATGAAACACATGCACCGAGGCGCAGCGCTCCCCAAAACGCCCGCTGCTTATTCTGCAGGCACAGGGAGTGCCTGAGGGTCCAAGGAAGCTGGCCGAATGCCCCAGCGACGCCGCTGCGTGCATCCAGGCTCCCCAGAAGCCTTCGGCGAGTCACAGTCTCAGCTCTTTGCATCTGTACGGTGGGCAGCACCATGGTCTGCCCTGCAGGGTTGGAGGTGGGGCTGATGTCATAGGAAAAGCAAGCCGCATGCCAGTGCTGCGTACCTAGCAAGGCCATCCGTTCAGAGCCCACTGCCAGCAGCTGCCCATTCAAACAGCTGCATCAACAGCCTCACTTTGCGCGTGCCCAGGAGACCTGCCACCGCCCGCTCCACCAGCCGGCCCACTTGAGCGTGGAGTCAGCAGTCCATTGCTCGCTCCGAAGCAAGCCCTGCCCGCCTCAAGAGCCCCGTCGGCAGACGCAGATGATTAGCAGCTTCACCCGCTTTATGTGCCTCTCCAAAGCGTCTCCCTTGGTGCTCCCCCCTCCCCAGTTGCATGAGCTGCTGCAGCCAAGCTCCAGCCGGAGGGGAATCGCTCCCGCTGAGTTACGGTTCCCCTGGAAGTCCGGGGCTTGCGCTGGAGAGCATGTGCTCTGCTTTGGAGCCGGGCCAGCCGATGTCACGGCAAACGCGCCTCGCTGAATGGAAGATGGAAGAAGGGGTGGGTGGCAGGCCAAGCATCTGTGCAGCACTTGTGGGATACGGAGGCCGTTCTGGCCTCGAAGCCAGCCAGCGCCTGGGAACACACCATTAAAATGTGGATCTGGTTTATGGTCTTCAGATGGCGGCCTCCACGCCAGCTCCTTTGTCATCCAGAGCCTCGCTGGCCGGGCCTCTTGGAGGCCGCTGGCTGTCAGCGGCCCAAAGCGGTGGCCGCCCTTGACGCCTCCAGCTGGGTGGAGAGCCTGACGGGGAACGGCTACGGCGGCCGATCTCCTTCAAGGGGCTCGTGTGTTCTGCAGGGGGCGCCCGCACGTATCGGGCTGTTGGGCCAGTGGCAGAGAGTTCCAGAGGAGGAAGCAACGGGGGCACAGGGTCCTGACGCCGACTGCATTCCTCCGCACCAGCCCAGACTGGCCGAGACAGGCGAGGAAGGTGGACAAGATGGAAGCTCAAAGGAGCTTCGGCCTTGTTCCTGTTTTTCCCCGTGTGCGTTTATAGGATCAAGTCTGGGATCAGATTCCCCAAGCCGAAGTTCTCACAGAGTCACCTTTTATTTAGGGGCAAATGCAGCAGCTTAACTGGTACGCTGTAAGCACCCAGAGTCATCAGCGAACCACTGGAACTGGGGCTTTCAGATGCCACCTCAAAGCTGCGGTGTTTGAGTTGCCTAGTGCTTCACCTGGTTTTATTGGACGGCCGTCCCGAGACTGTTTGGTAGTGGCTGGTATAGAAACGTTTCAAACAAATAAATTGTGCTACCTTTGGCGACATGAGCAATCTGACCAATTTGCCTGCAGGTACAAGGATCTTACCTACAGCTTGTTTTTTCTCCGGCTTCCCTTTCTGTCCGGCGCTTGCCTTCCGTGGTGTGGAAGGCTGGGCCTAGACAATCGCCCTGGCCTCGTGGCGCACTCTCACGCACGGCTGCCCGTCATTGCAATCGCCAACTTTCTTCTGCTTCCACTTCAGGATGACCTGGACATTAACATCGACTGCGTGTCTGACGAGAAGCATCCAAACAGCAGGGTCTGCAACGTCAGCTATCCCTTCTTCCGGGCCAAAGCAAAGGTGAGGATGCAGGCACTTGGTGGCCCAGAACGAGCGCCAGTCCTGCGGAGGCGGTGGGGGTCGGGGAAAGCGCCCGGGGCTCGGGGTCCTCGGATCGTGGAGTCAGCTGGATCTGGGGCTGAAGAAGCGGCTCTGGGACAAGCCAGCGAGCCGCAGGAAGCGAGCACGTGCAAACCCGGGGCAGGGCAGATCGAAGGAGCACGGGAATGGGGCCAAGGAAAGGAAGGAAAAAGGCAGGCCGAGGCCCCCGCCAAGAGCGCTAGGCAGGAGCCTCAAACAGACCGGCCAGCCAGCGGGTTCTCTCTGCCTCTGGATGGGGGGCTGCTGGGAAGCCGGAGCCAGAGGGCTCTGGAGGCCGAGGCCGTCTGCAGCGAGCTCGCTGGCACACTGACACAGAGAGTGCCCAAAGGCCATGCAAAGCACTTGGCCACTCCTGAATATCAGTGCGGTCTCTCCTCCAACATGGATTAGACGGCTGGAGCCCTGGAAGTGCAGGGGGGGGGCTCAGGCCTCACCCCCCAGGGGTGGCTGCCCAGCCAGCGCTCACCTTCCTTCCGACTCCCTGAGCCAGCATCCTGAGCCCAGGGCCCCTGGCCTCGGCTCCTGACACCCTCCCACTTTGCACAGAATCCCCTCCAGCCCAGCTTGGGTGCCTGCACACCCTGCCCGGCGCATTCACATGACAGAGGATCACTCCAGAGCTTGAAATGTGGGGAGTCAACTGGCAGTCCCCAGATTTCAATCAAGTAGGTTCCTCGCACCCTCCCCCTTAATCCTGCTTGCTCTCCCAGGGCAGTTTGTTAGATTCCACAGCAACACATTATAAGAACAATAATATTTTTCCTTTTCCAACTTGCTTAGCAGTGCTAAAGAGTCAGGAAATAACTGGCCAGCCAGGAGGTTTCCACCTCAGTAAGGCAGCCCAGAAACCTAAGAGCTTGTGGAAAGTCAAATTAAATCCAGGATAACTTAGCTCAGAAGTTCTTGCTCTAACCCTCTTGAGCCATGTAATTTGGTTAACCCCCCCTTCCTTTGCTCCTCCATGAGTCACTTCGTTTGCAGCACCCGGCTGGGGAGAAGGCAGTGATTTGCCCCTTTCTCTCTAGCTGCCCATGGGGGCATTTTTTAGATGCCTCGAGCTGTCGGCCGTCTGATCGTCTGCATATTGTCACAGGAAGGAACTTGGTGGACCGAGCTTTTGGCTCATGGGCAGCCATGTCAGGGAAATGCCTTCTTACCTTTTACGGCTTGTTTATGCCAAAACTAGCTCTTTTCCATTAAAGATACTGGCATTCCGAGTGCCACAAACCAGATGTGGCTGGAATACGGAATGTCGCCACCTCCCCCAGCGAGGGTGCAGGGGAACGTGAAGGCTTGGACGGACTCTCTGGTGTGCAAAGGCCTGACTCATAGCAGACCGGGCAGCCAAGGTCTCCTCGTGAGCCATCGGAGCTGGGAAGGAAGAACAGGTTCAGGGCAGACAGCTAGTGGGACGGTCCCAGTGCGTCTGGGGACTCAAGGCAGAATGTTCCTCAAGGAAGGAAACCGGGACTTCACTGGACAAACGATCCGAGGTCGCCGTGCCCAGTTCTGGATGACGCGGGTGCTGGCCACGCATGCGTTTGCCACAAGAAGAGTGCTCTTCTTCGTGGGCCATGGCATCCTTAGCTTCTGTAAACATAGAGGGGTATCACCTATTTGGAAAGGACAGGAAGGGGAAGAGAGGTGGGGGCGTAGCTTCATACGTCAGGGAAGGGATAGGATGCAGTGAGATAGGACGCAGCACAGGTGGGGATTCGGTGGAGGCCGTCTGGGTGAAACTTAGGGGTTTTGACACGGAAAGGGACCTGGCAGTGGGGGTATGTTATCGCCCTCAACTTGAGACCCACCATGGATGCAAAAGGAGGTGGTTTGAGGGATTAGTCGCAAGAGGAGCCTCCATAGGAAATGGGTACTGGGGGAACTAGACAAAAGGGTATCCCGGAGGAGGAGGCCCGTTGCAGAAGGATTCTTTGCAAGGCTAAGGCTGATTACGAGCTGAGACTTGCCAAGAATATCAAGAGCGACGTGAGTTCCGGCACCTTTTTTTTTTTTTTTTTTAACCAAAAAAGGCACTGTGTCCAAGTATTCGGCAGGGCCGAGATCCAAACTTTGCTCTGTTTCATCTACCCTCAAATGCAGTCCAGCTTAGGACCACAAAGGCGCCCATGAGACCCAAACGCACGGGTATCATGGGATTTGTAGTGCAAACATCTGACAAGCCACCAAGTGGGAGAAACGGGAGGAGGTGACGGCGGACTGGGCGCCGCAGAGACGGCCTTCATGGCTTGATGGTCTGTTGGAGCTTCTCCTTACTTGAAACTTTAAGCAGAAATCTTTTTGCGGAGCGGTTACATCTGACACACCTGGGTAATAGATTATCTTCCGTGTGTCATGGGCCAGAGGGGAGAATGATGGCAGGCACGTCCACAGACTTTGCTCAAGAGACGAGGGAGGCAGGGAGGCGTCTCAGATGCGACGCAAAATAGTAGACTGACACTTCGCTTGGCAAAGCGCTGGCAGTGATGGATTCTCCCTCAGCAGCAGTCTAGGACTTAGTCCTTGCCATAAAACAGCCCGATGGGTTTTTGGCCCATACGATACGACCCTAATGCATCTGTATGGCATGGAACACTCACGGCTTTGCCAAAGCAAAGAGAAGCTGAAAATGGAAAATTCAGCCCTAGGAGACCAAGGAGAAATTTAATATTATAATCATCCACGCACAGTCTCTGGGCACTTTTCGAAAAAGCCCTCCTGTCTAAAGACCATCACTTCGCACTGTGGTTAGAGCATTCTGCTTGGCAGCCAAACCTGCCCCCTCCCCGGCCATCCTTTCAACAGATGAGATCTCCCAGATAAATTAACTGGGCAACGCCATTCGGCTGACTGGGCCACTGAGGGCCTCGCCCAGCTTTGCTGCAGTCGAACGTATGAGGGGCGTTCAATGTATTCTTGGTATCAGCATGAAGAAAAAAGAATAATAAATGGAAATAATTTTTATTTTTCAATGTAATCCCCCATAACTTCAATACACTTATTATATCTAGAAATTAACTTTTCAATTCCCTGTAAAAAATACCCTTCCTCCTTGTCTAAAAAGTGTGTGTTAATTGCCGCCTTGAGCTCTTCGTCGTCGGAAAATCGCTTTCCACGAAGAGCTTTTTTAAAATTTGGGAATATGCAGTAGGCGCTGGGGGCCAGGTCCGGGCTACAGGGTGGGTGGTTTATTTCTTCGGAACCACAGTCTCGCACAGCAGCCTTCAAAACACGCGCCATGTGAACGAGCGCGTTGTGAAGAAGCAACACACCTGCGGTCAGTTTTCCCCGCCTTTTTTCTTTAATTGCTTCTCTTAAATTATGCAGAGTGGTTGCATAAGATGCTGCGTTGATGGTTTCACCTTTTTTCGTGTACTCGATCAATAAAATTCCCTTTGAGTCCCAAAACACCGTGGCCATGATTTTTCCAGCCGAGGGAGTGACTTTGAAATTCTCCGGAGGGTCAGCACCCTTTTTATGCCACTGCGTGGACTCCTGCTTACTTTCAGGGTCATAGTGATGAAACCACGTTTCATCTCTAGTAACAATCTGGTCAAAAATAGTTGATGGAGCTTCGCCACAGAGCTCTAAAAAGTCCCCACAGCACTCGACTCGCACTTGTTTCTGAGGCGCCATGAGCATTCGTGGCACCCATCTTGCACAGACCTTTGAAAGGTTAAGATGGTCATGAAAAATAGTAAATATGGTATCAACGGATAGGTCTGTCATCTCTGCTAACATTTTGATTTTTATTCGGGCATCTTCCAATACAAGTTTCACATTTTTTTCACATTTTCTTTCATAGTGGCAGTAACCGGCCCGCCTGAGCAAGGGTCATCTTCAATGCTTTCTCTGCCCCTTTTAAATTCCCTTGACCACTTTTGAACAGCAGATAATGAAGGTGCAGAGTCCATCTCTTTGTGAATGATTTTTTGACTTTTCCCTTGTTTTGCAAGGAACTTAATCACAGCGTGGTGCTCGATTTCCTTCAACATGGTCGCCTCAGTCATCATGGTTTTCTTTCACTGAGGATTACTAGGGAACTAATGATCACACTTATTTGAAATTTTGCATAGTGCCAGATAGTGTCATTCGTTAATGAAGTAATAAAATTACCCACATCAATAGCAAATCAACCCGATACCGAGAATACATTGAACGCCTGTACGAAGCACCCGCAGGGCCAGCTCAGCCCGTCCTCCCCGCCAAGTGGCCGTGGCAGGTCACACCGACCCCTGCGGGCATGCCCAGGCGGGCAGCAGGGTCCTCTCACGCGACTCACTTCCGCACGGCATGCCGAGCCACCCACGTGGGTTGCGGGGGGGACAACCCGCGACGTGCCCTGCCACCGATCAGGCTCCCCGGGCCGTGTCCGCTCCTTCCCCCTCGGCCTCTCGGCGTCCTCACGGACCCGCCTGACACCCTCTTCCCATCCCATCCCTTCCCAGTCCCCACCATTTATTGGCCACTGTCTTTTCTAGCAGCCTCAGAAAACACAGCTGGGGTCAAGCCTTCAGCCCCGGGAAGCTGCAGCGGTCCGCAACGCGCTCGCCATTTTGCTGGGCTCCTGCAGTTGTGCTCTTTCCACCGCCCGTGATGTCCGTGCCTGGCCGAGGTCCATGCACACTCCCCATGCCAAAAGGAAGCGGAGCGGCAGAGCAGGGCCTTCCCCGGGCTCATTTGCCACGGCCCAAGTGCCGAGCAGATACTTGGAGCGCATCTCTCTTCCGCCTTCTCCGAAAGACGGAGAGAGAGAGAGCAGCAGTCCTGGGAAAGCCCCGGAGGGCCAGTGCATGACGGCATCGTGCCAAAGTGCCACGCAATGTGAGCGAGCCAGCCAGCCATGGTGACCGCACGGGCCTCTCTGGGAGCGGGCTTCCTCCGGAAACCTGGGAGCTGTGCTTCGAAGAGCGGCCCGTGCAGCGTGGCAGTGAGCCTGCTGGACTCAGAACCCAAGAGGCCTGGCTTCAGGGCCCCACTCAGCCGGGTGACTGTGGCCGGCCACTCGCTCTCAGGCTGGCCTACCTTACAGGACTGTTGTTGTGAGGACCAAGTGGAACTGTGTAAGCTGCCTGGAGTTCCTCAGCAAAGGGAAAAAGGCGGGATGGAAATGCCATGTAAACTGGAAGAGTGAGAGGGCGCATGCCCTAGATCTGTATGACCAGGACTGCGTACGCAGCATCGGTGCAAACGGCGGTTCCCAGGTGGTTTGATCGTGTGCTGCCCTTCTGATGCGCAGCCCGGGCCTTAGGCGGAAGAGCTCACTGCCTTCTTTGCATGAAATTGCTGTGCCGTCCCGCCGAAAGAGAGGGCTCCATGGCCACAGCGTGGCTGAGACTTTGCGGGGGCTCTGGGTGAGGGGATGCGCCCTTGGCTCTGGGTGGCTGCGGACGACGTGGCAGGCAGAATCTTTCAATTTCTTCCCTTTGTCTTACATTTCCACAGGTGGCTTTTCGCTTGGATTTTGAGTTCAGGAGGTCTGTTTTCCTCCAAAACCTGGAGATCTTTTTGACTGCCAGCAGGTTGGCAATAGCGTTCTTTTCTCCCCTTTCTCTTGTCATCCATTCCTCACTAGTTTTCCTTCTTTAATGGACCCCCCAGCTCTGTTTGCTCACTGCCTTCCAGTCCAGGGCTGTGCGGACTGAGCTGTATTAAAGCATTCAGCACTCAATTGCGTGTAATCCCCTTTTAGATATCTTTGCAGCAGCCAGAAGAATACATTACGATCTGGAAGGCAAATCAAGTGTCAGTAAAACCTGAATGTTAAGCAAAATAGGGGACCTTCTCAAAGTAGTCAAATGGTGGGGTTCAGTGTTTACTTGTTATTATAACTGCACTTTTACCTCTTCTCTTGCGATTTTGGTTAAGAGCAGGGAAGGAAGGTTTACTTTCCAGTAGGTGTGTCAAAGATGTGAGCACTAAATTGCATTCACAGAAATGTCCGCAAAGGCAAGGCTTGGCAGGGGAGAGAGCTTTCTCTCAATTGGCACTCAGGAGCTCTGAGCTAGATCAGCATCCGTGGCTCAACTCAGAGTGGATTAACACTTCACACAGCTCATGGATCAGGTCGTGTCAGCCAGAAATCCCCTTCTGTGTGTCTATATACCCCGCCAGGCCAACGCAGAGTTGGCAAGCAGCAAGGAGAAAGAGCTTTGTGTTGCCAAAGCCAGCAGGGCTAGAAATAAGATGAACTGTTCCCCTTGGAAAGGGGCCAATACCCCCACAAAGGAGAAACGGACCTCTTCAGGTGTTTCCGGCAGCTAACAGCCCATCAGCTCCTCTGACTCCCGGAGGAGACTCCGCACCGTCCTTTACCACTTCCAATATTAGCTCGTTGTCTCTGTGTCTCCTGCGTCATGCCAAGTCACCTAAGCTGCCTTCTGGCCAACTCTGTTCCAGTGACAGTGAGGAACTGGAAAGCACGAAAGAGGACAACTACGTTCTCCTGAAGTTTCCACTGAAGTATGAGACTGACCTCCTTTTCAGCAGGTATTTTGTGCAGATATGGGGGGCGGGGAGGTTTTCCCAGAGCTGACATTTTCACAGTCTGCTGCAGGCACACACTTGTACCTTTAAATATTGCATGGCATCTCCAGCTCGAAAGTGTGCCCCTTAGCAGCACCTCTGCAGTTGGGTCCTTTCCCTAAGAGCCACGTTCTCCTCCTCGCTCAGGAGCTCCAGCCAGAACTACTATGAGATCAAGTCGAACAGTTCCCTGGAGAGATACGACCCCATCGGCCCTCCTTTTAATTGCACCTTCCAGGTAAATGGAGCCGCTGGTCCCCGAGATTTTGGAGTAGGGTGGGGGAATGCCCCGTCATGAGTGGAAGTGACGGTGTTTCACTCTGTTTGGTGATGCTTTCAGCTGCAGAACTTGGGACTCTTTCCTGTGGATGAGCTGGCGATCAAAATCACAGTCCCCGTAGCCACCCGAGGAGGGAATCGCCTTTTGCAGCTCACTGGTTTTCGTGTGCATGAGGTACACCTGTTCTAAGCACGCTCTTTTAAAAGCTCAGCATAGCCTCAATGTCGCGTCATAAACTGGGGTGCCCCAGGAGAAAGCTGGGCCACAGAAGAATGACTGAAAGGAGATGGTGTAGTCAAAGAAACAGGGCCCTCGCCTCAGCGACCTTTCCGCCCCCTGGCAAGCAGCCGCCGGCCCCCTTCTGTTTGAAAGAAGAGGTCCGGCGCTCACACATTTACTGATGCATCAAAACGCATGGACGGCCAGCCAGCACTTCTGTGAAATGCGTTTTGCAGTCTGGCACAATGCGCCAGCTTCCACATAATGCCAGCCATGTGTCCCAGGCCCCCCTTTTTCCATGCAGACCGCAAAAGCACAGGCGTTTAGGAGCTCTGTGCGCGTGAGCCCCCGCGCCTTCCTCTGGGTGAAGGGACAGACAGCCGTCAGCCGCGGCAAGCAGTATCCGGAGCAGGCAGCTCGGCTGCAGACGCAGCTTTTGCATTAGGAGCTGCCACAGGCAGGCAAGAAGCAGCGGGCCTGTGAACTGGCCGAGGGCGCCTGCTGTCGGCATGGCAAGGGCGCGCCAGCTTCACAATGCACGGGCTCTTTGGTGCATGAGTCAACGTGCGGAAAAGAAGGCTCGTGGAATTGTGTGGCCCCTGGGGTGGGGGCTGCAGCTCTCGGACAGTTCCTACATGCTCCTCCCGCCTCGCAGCTGTTGAAACCTCCTCCCCCACCACCGCTGCTTTCTCTCCCACCGACAGAGGTGGCTGCCCTGCCCTTCCCCAGGCTGTCTCCTGGCTGCTGCAGCTGCAGCGGGAAGCTACCTTCTTTGGCTTGTGGTCATCTTCGTTGCGGGAAGAGCTTTCCTCAGGGCAGAGACATCCCAGGCAGGCCCACCTTTGGAACAGTTCTGGGGGCTTTAAAATCTAAGAACTGGTCAGTGTCCCCAAGAATGGCTGGAAGAAGAGGAAGGGAAGGGCCCCCGTGATGTCCTCAGACTTTGGGAAGGACTTCACGGGGCAGAGGTGGGTGCATCACTGGCAGAAACAACCGATGTTGCTCAAGGAGAAAACCTCTGAACTGTTGCAGCTTGGCCATTTCTCATCGGGTCTCCTTGCCCGTTGGCTGCCAGCTGGTATCTGGGCCAGCAATGCCCCATGTGAAATTTCAAGACCATGTTGATCACCGCTCATTCGGTGATTAGCTTGAGAGGGCCGTCACACAGTTCGCCGCCAACCATAACGGTCATGCTGTGCAGCAAGGGATCCTCCGCCAGAAGATGTCCCAGTGTCCCTCTTTCCCCAGGTGGCCTTCCCTTGCCAGTGATCTGGGACAAGGGGCACAATCATGAACTTCCTAAAAATCAGCGGGTTCCATATTTTCAAATGAAGACGGGGATGGAATTAGAGTTCTTGGAAAAAGCTGACAACCCCGGCAATTAAAACAGACAGCTTTGAAGGCTGCTACCTTAACAGAGCGTTGTTTCGAATCCAGCTTTAATTCTGTTTGCAAACTTTGGCTGGAAGGGGCGAATCTGAGAACCTGTGAGGTTCCCCAGGGCAGATGTTGCGCCGTCCCTTGATTGTCTCCCATCTGCCCTCTTGCTTATGGGGACCACATTTCTCAGGAGTCCAGCTTCCTTCCACACACAGCTGGCTGGGAAGGTGGACAGTGCTGGGCGCTGGCAGGTGGGTTTTCACGCCTCCCAGTGGCGTGTAAGGATGGTTTGTAAGACTGTGCTCTAATTTCCTGCAGAAGAGGCATTCCTGCAGTCGGACGAGGGTCGGTGCGGCCTTGCAACACACAGGCAAAGCTGGCCTGGCCACGCTCGGGGCGAGAGCGCAGCCACCAGAGAAGGCCTGGCTCCGCGGCTTCTCCGGAGGGGAAAGAGCGTGCCAGTCCCCAGACAGGCATCGCCTTTGTGTCCTGCTTTATTCTTCACTCCTTCGGCTCACCACCTCCTGAGAGTTATTCCTCTCCCTCTTCTCATTGCAGGGAAACACGCTGTGCAACATCGGAGGCAACAATACGGACTACCGTTGGACACCCTCGGATGAGGACTTGGGCCGCCACCCACAGCTGGTAGGCAATTCCACCTCCGCGTGCTGCAGCCAAGTCCTCCGTCCAGGGTTTGGGGTCCCGACCGGGGTGCCGTCCCGGTGCAATGCTCTTAAAGGAAGGCAGCACCATGGCAAGGCGCTTCTCGCGCCCTTGCCACGTAATACGGAGGGCCTTCCAGGCACCGGCTGTGCTCTTCCAGCTGCTGCAGCCCAAAAGCAAAGGAGGGGCCAGGTAGCAGTGTGCCTGCAGAATGCAGGTGCCCACCTGGGCGAGGCGGCTGGGGGCCCTGGATGTGTCCCACAGTCCCACTTGCCCAGTCTCAGGGGTCGGGCTGCACGCTGCCCCCCCCAGGCCAAAGGAGGGGCTGCCAAGAGATGAGCCGGCTCGGCAAGGAAGCCTCAGCAGGCCGGAGCCAGCGGCGGGAGACGAAGGGTCCCCAAGCGGCCCCCTGGCCTGAAGGACAAGGAGGCTCCCCGGGCTAGACAGCTTTGGTCCCCCGGCCCAGCAAGCCACCTGCAGGCGGCAATTCCCAGGCAAACCCCAGTGGAGTCGGTGCGCCCAAGCCCCGCCCACTTCCCTGCTTTTTCTTGGGGGGGGCGTTAATCAGCACTGCTGCACCTCACTGCCTTTCCGCTCCTCTCCTCCTTCCAGAACTACAGCAATTCCGATGTAGTCTCAATAGACTGCAATGTGCATTTGGCAGCAAACGAAGAGGTTCGCTTCCTCTTGTACGGGACGCTCTGGATGAAGTCGCTGAGAGCCGTAAGACCAGCTCAGCTGCCCGCACAGCCTTCCTGGGGTGGGGCTCAGGCAGGAGGGCACCCCGCTTTGCGGCTGGGGCTCCGGGCTGGTCTCAGACACCCAGAAATGCAGGCAGGGTGGTTTCTGCTCCAGCTTATTCAGCTGCGACTGGCCTCTCCTGGCTCGCTGGGAAAGCGGATCTTTGATCTCCCGAGTGCCACATCCGCAGAAATTGCTGGAGGATGAGTGCACGGAGCCAGATTGAGAGCAGCTGCATCCTCTTCTCCACCAAAAGGAGAGACGGAGACACCCTGGAAGTGTCACACCCGGGGGGCGGGGGGGCCGCTCCCAGGCAGTGTCTGGCTGGCTCGTGGGAGCGACTCAGGAGGCGCCGTGGCCCAGTCCCAGAGGCAGGACTCCAATTATGGGGGCCGTTCTCAGGCCCAGTCCATGCTAGCCTGCCTGCAGCCAATTGAGCTGATAGAGCAGGAATGGGGGGTGGGGGGTGTTAAAAAGAAAAGGCCAAGGGGCCGGGCTAACCTTTCAGCATCTCCCTGGTCCAGGAAGCGATGCTGCAGCAGAAGCAGTTGCATCTTGTGCTGCAGAGAAAAGCAGAGCCCAGGGCGGTCCCGGGCCACTTTCAGGGGAAGGGTTGCTTCCCAGGCATTCACCCACAACCCGGCTTTCCCATGCAGACGCCGAGGTTCGGCCGCTTTTAAACAAGCATCCCCTACAGAGAGGCTGGAGAATTCCCCCGTCCAGCACAGTTGTGCGAGGATGCATTTCTTCCAGCTCTTAACAGTCGTGCTTCCGCTCTTGCACCCCGTGGTCCACGGAGCGGCTGGAAAGGGAGACGGCGTTGGAGGGACGCTTCTTTGTACTAGTCACTAGACTAGAGTGGCTGTCGCTGAGCCCTGCTGGGCCCCGTTTTCCCATGGTGGTGACTCCCCCCTTCCCCTCCCCTCCCCTCCGCTCCGCTCCCCAGCTGAAATTCAAGTCCCTGAGATTCGTGATCAACGCCGTCCTACAGCGAGGGTTTCGCAGCGCCTTTGTCTTCAGAGAAGAGGACCCCAGCCGGCAGGTACGCCGCCTGACCACACACCTCTTCAGGCACATTCCCGAAACCTGGACTTCCATCTGCGGAAGCACGACGGGTGTTGAGGGGTTGTTCAGACCCCCGAGCCCTTCCCTCCATCAGGCCTGGCCCGGCAACAGCCGAGTGGTTTCTTCCCAGCAGCACACTCCCTAAACGTACCCCGATGCTCGGGCATGTGTTCATGGTCTCCTGGGTCTCCTCATGAGCCGCTGCCAGGCCCTCCGCCAGGTGGGGCGCGGGATTTTGGAGGCAGGAGGCGGAGCCCTGCCTGGACAGGCCCACCAGGGGCCGGGTGAACAAAAGGGGATCCCCAGGCTGTGCGGCATCGCTTGACACTTTTGCCACCAACTACAGATGAGCTTGCTGCTCCAACACGCGTTAAGACGCAGCCCTCGGCCACTGCTGTGTTGCCCCGTCTTCCAGTCGAAGCGAATGGTACGACGGCAAGGACAGCACACCGCTGTGCTCCTTGTGGCCAGGCCCATCGAGGCGGGACGTTGCACTTGCTGAACCAGATAAGCCTCCCCAAAGCCATGATCCACTGAGAGGTTGCGTATCCTAGTGGTTAGAGTGCAGGACCACCGTGCAGGAGATCCAGGTGCTAGTCCCCACTCTGCCATGAAGCCCACTGGTGACTTCGGGCCAGACTCTGGACCTAGCCTACCTCAATGGGTTGTTGTTGTGAGGATAAAACGGAGTGGATAAAGCCTTGGCTTCCTTGCAAGAGGACAGAAAGCAGGGTATAAATGCAGTGCCACCAAAATGGGTAGCAATGCTCCTGTTCCATTGCCCACCCTTCTCCCGCATGCCAGATCATTTTTACCCAGTGGTTTTTCATCTGTTCATACGGTTTGCTGTGATTTTATACTGTACTTTGGTGATGGGCACCAGGGAAGGATCTTGGGGTTGTAGAGCACAAGCTAAATATGAGCCAAGAGCGTGATGCAACTGCAAAAAGGGCAAACACAATTTTGGGCTACATTAACCGAAGCAGCACTTCCAAAGCACGTGAAGTCCCAGTTCCCCTCTACTCAGCACTAGTCACACCTCTCCTGGAGCATCGCATCTGGTTCTGGACACCGCAGTATAAAAAAGAAGCCGAAGGGCTAGAAAGGGTACAGGGGGTGGGCAAGCAAAGCTCCATAAGGAAAGCCTGAGAGAACTGGGCACGTTCAGCCTCAGGAAGGGAAGACTGAGGGGAGATGCGACAGCCTTCTACAAGGACCTGAAAGGCTGCCTCAGAGAGGATGGACAAGATCGCTTCTTTCCAGTCCAGAGTGCAGGACACGGAATGATGGACCTGCGTTAAAAGAACCCAGATCTAGACGAGACACTAGGAAGCATTTCCCCACTGTCAGAGCGGGATGACCACGGAGAAGCTTGGCTTTCCCTCCTTGGCCAGCCCTCTGAGTGGGAAGGTGTAACGTGGAGCCCTGCAAGGGCAGGGGGCTGGACCGGAGGGCCTTCTGGCCCCTTCCAGCTCCGCTCTGCTGCAATTCTGCGACTGAAGGGGAAGCCGTGCGTCGTCCTGCTGGCCGGCCGCCAGTCCTCGGCGGTTGCAGCTTGAGTGAGAGCCGCGCAGCTCTGCCAGGCCAGAGCAGCTCCCGGGGGCTCGGAGCAGGACGGGGCACCCTGCCTCCCACGCACGCCAGTGGGCTCAAGGCACAGGCCGGCACCGTGCTGGGGAACAGTGGGCCGCTGGTGCCCTCTCCTGGCAGCAGCCAGGAACCGGCGGGAGGGCTTCCTCCGAGCCTGGCCGAAGCCCTCCCCGGCATTGCCGCAGACCGCTCCTGCGGCCCTCCTCCTCCTCGGGCACGTACGGCAGACAAGCTGCCCGCTCACTCCCCTACGGCCTTCCCCCTGCAGATCATCTTTGAAATCTCCAAGAGAGAGGAGACCCACATCCCCATCTGGATCATCATCGGGAGCACCCTCGGAGGCCTCCTGCTGCTCGCGCTCCTCGTCCTGGCACTGTGGAAGGTAAGCCCCGGCCCCGTCCACACCGGCTGCTCCAAGGGCGGGACCCCCTTTCCTGCCCCGGCCGGGAATGGGGCTGCTGAGCCAGTCCCCCATGGGCAAGCACCAGGGGCGGGCCAAGCCCCTTCGGGCCGCCCGGGTGGCTCGCTTGCGCTTGGGAAGGCCGCGTCCCTGGCTGCCTCGGCTCGGACCACGCCGCCAGGCAGGCCCCTGCTGTGCCCCCTCGCCAGGGACGCCCCGCGAGGCCGTGGGCTGGAATGCGAACCCAGAGAGTTAGACACCAAACGCTACGTTTGCAGAATGTCCTTTCCACCTAAGGGTCTAAATATCAAGACTTCGTCTTGTTTTTCTTCTCTTTTTAAAGGAATGAAAACCGGAGCACAGTAACTGGATGTAAAAAAGAGGTGTAATTTCGAGATGCTCATTCTCCCCTAAATTAAAAAAAAATCCTTTCCATTGCCACCAGACTGGTGGTGACTCGAATGTTTTTGCACTAGCATTATTGTACCCCAATGCAAAAATTAAAGCATAATGTGGAGTTACAGGAAGGTTGTGAAAAAGAAGGCATTGTGCTATAACAAGAGAATACAATAAAGCTTATTTTTAAGAATGATTCGTAAGGTGTTCTTGACCATGGCACGGGGATCAATTGGGAAGTATCTGTTTTGTTTTTTGAATCGACATAGTAGCATTATAATGTGATGGCACTATGCCTCTCTTTCATTAAAAAAAAAATAATTTCAACAGAAAAGTGTTCCTGAGAAGAACACGGTCATGGCAGACACTCCTTGCAAAAGTGGAAAGGAATGCCTGACCATTGTGTTTGGTTCACTCTTCCAACACATCACTGCCTGGGGAAGCACCCAACCAAAGAAAAACATAAAGGACCCACACGGTGGAGATTGCACCCCCCCCCTGCCCCCAGTCCCTGAGAAAGAGACTCCAAGTTCCTGAAGCCTGAGAAAAGAAAACAGGGAAAAACAAAGCAAAGCAGCCGAGCAGCGACTGGAGGGCCGCATGCTGTGGATGCCTCGGAAGCAGCAAAACGAACGGAGGCGATTCCACACACAGCCCATGCTTGTGGCGAATTACCCCCAAAATGTGATGAGAGGCCACCGCATTTGTTGTCCGTGGTGGGCACACCACGCTCCAGTGCCGTAGGGAACCCCGTGCGGTGAAGCCTGGCTTAGGGGAGGGAAGCCAAGAAGGGCTGAACTCCTCCAAAGTCACTGGCAGTCAGAGCAGCTGGCGGGGAATCCGCGGCCAAAGGGCTGGCTGAGTCGAGTGCAGCCTCAGCTATTTAGAGAGCCTGCTTTGGATGGGAGGGCAAATTCAGGTCCAGAAACTCTTGTCTGTTTCACAGTTGCTCCCTTTCCCCCCCCCCAGGAAAGCAACAAACTAGCTCCCACCCAATCCGCTTTGTGCCCACACCAGGAGGAGGACATCCTTGCTGCTTGGCTCTGGCTTTTGAACAGGGCCAGCCCTACCACTGGGCAGTGGCCAGTGGCAGCGGCAGCAGCTCCCTGGCCGCTCTCGCCTGCACGAGGACAGAGCTCTGCTCAGGGCAGCAGCTCCGGTACTCGACCCACACCAGCCCCGCTTTCACCCCCGGCAGCTGCTGGCTCGTTTCAGGACAGAGGTTTAGTGCGGCAGGCGGAAAAATCAGCCGAGCCACATGCCGCATTGTCCTTATCGCCTAATGCAAGGGCTGCCGCTTTCCATGAGGAACATTGCCTTATCCACTCGCAAGTCACGGTGAAGCGAAGGCAGACTGCAGCAGCACAGCCAAGCGCTGTGGCTTGCGTACACCAGAGCAGGCCAGCCCTGCCGAGGGTGGTTGCGCCATTAACGCCAGACTTCTCCCTTTCTCTCCCCCCGCTGCAGCTTGGCTTCTTTAAAAGCGCCAACCGCAAGAGAGACGCAGCCCAGGACCAGAACGCCAAAGATCTGGACTGAAGCCTCCGCCACCCCAGAGCGCTCCGTCACCCATGGCTCGCTTGGCACGGAGGCCTTCGCTCGCCTGTCCAGGCCCCCTTCGCTGGAAGCAACCCAACTGCCACCAGTCATTTCCAAGGGCCAAGATGCAGCCAGCTCCAGGAACTTCAAATTGGTTTTGTTTCCCCCTGCCTCAGACACTGGAAGCAGCCAGGCCGAGAGGGCAGGTGGCTAGGGCAGAGGCCCAGGCAGCTGTCCACACGTGCCACGGCAGGCGGGGGTCGTGCCAGAAGAGCTCTGCGGTGATGCAAAAGCTCACCACGCCGTGCCTCTTCCCGCCTGTGGCTCAAGCGCACCTTCGACTCCGGGGGACCCACTTTTCCAGCCTGCCTGCTCTCTCCGTGGGACTCCCTGGACCCACATGGCGGCTGTGAGCCACGCCTGCGGACGCCGTCGCCACAGGCCCTTTCCACGGCAGGTGCTTTGCTACGGTGTCGGGGGGGCGGGGGCGGCTCTTGCAAAACGACGCACCACACCAAGGGACTGGAGGGCCGGAGGACAAATGGACTCTGCAGAAGGTCGCCAGAAAGCGAAATCTGCGCAGCACCTCCTGATGCAGCTAGGGTGATCGGGCTGAAATTGCAGGAGAAAACACACTGGCATGTCTCTAGCCCTCAGTGCACACGAGGTCAGAATGGCGATGCTACAAGGCTCTGTTCACAAGGATATTGTTGCCAGCTGAGTGCACTTCGTAATCTGTAAAGTTGCACCAAACCTTTACGACGGGCCCAGTCACTTTCCCACTCGTTGCAAAGGGACCAGTCCAGAAGTGCCTGGGCAGACAGAGGCACGCGCCCCACCCCCCCATTTTTCCAGCGGAACAACTGAAGAGATCTTATTGTCTTCTCGATGCACTGAACAGAGGCACCACCATTTATAAGCACCTTAATGCAAGCCCGCAATCCTCAGCTGTATATACTTATTCTAAAAGTGTTTACCTTTCTTATGTTAAAGGGTGATTTTAGGAAGGAAAAAAACCAGTTTGAAGTGTACTTCCCCAAGTCGTGTTATCTCCCAGAGCAATCAAGACAGGAAAAATGTATTATATGTATATACTTCTGTGTGATGGAAAGGTTTTAATTTGATCATTTTTCTTTGATATAATAGAATTATTTATACAATTGTTAATATTAATGACTGAAAATGAGATCTGTTCAGCTGAATGCGGTAACATGTAAAATGTTGTAGTTGTAGAGGGTTTAAAAAAAATTAAACTTTTTTAAGTTAAAAGATTTAGAGGTTTTCACTTAAGGGCTTGTTGAGCCGCTGGCACATTTTCGCTTTCACCTGGAGAAAATTATGCACACCCCAATTTGCCACTCACTGGATCTTGTCCCAGAGGAGCAAGGCCTCCTTCCGGGCTGGCAGGCAGAACTCCCTTTGCAAATATTCCCTTTCTCACAAAGGGGCATGTCAAGAAGACTGGCTGGGTGGAATCGCTTGGACAGAGAGGTGGGAAATCCCAGAGCGGCCTGGAAACTCAGCTGGATATTGTGTTGGTGGTGTACTCATGGGCAGAAACTGCCTTTTCCACTGAAAGTGTGCAAGCGGGGAGCCCTTTTCCCCACACAGCTGCAAATCCGTGGCAGATGCAAATCAGGCAGTCCCCAGCTTACAAATGAGTTCCATTCCTTGGAAAGTTGAATTTGTATGCAAGTCGGGTCACATATAATTGGTCCTCCACATTTGCAGAGGTTAGGGGTGCAGGACACCCATGAAAGTGGGAAAAACATGAACACCTCTAGCTCCCCCCCACCAAGCTCTCTGCAGCAAGGAAATGCTGGAGAGCTTTCCCTCTCTTAATGGACAGGGCAGGAAGGCACGCTCTGAAGGCCTCCCTCTCCCCCCTTCCACTTCCTCTCTATGGTGATGCACTGGAGGCCTTCCCTCTCCCCCTCCCCTGCCTCTCTCTCTGGTAATGATTTCCTGCAGTAATTTTAAAAAATCAATAGGCTTTACAGCAGTTCATGCATAGGCACGGGTTGCAGGTCACTCAGGGGACTGCCTGTGTACAAACCTACCTGGGTGCTGGCTGGAACGCAGGCACCAAGCTTCAAATGGTTGTCCCGTCCTCCCTCTGCTCTTCTTAGTCACGCCATGCCACCTTTCCCACCTGCCCCGGGCAACTCCGAACCCGCCGAGCCCGCCGGTGACCTTGCCACAAGCAGCTCTGTGACGCTCGCAAGCAACAATATTCACGCATACTTGCAGCCCCCAGGCGGCATGTGCTACGGAGCGGGAGGGATGGGGGCATCTAGACTTGGTTTTCTACTCCCTCGCCGAGGGGAGATGCCTAGAGATTTGCCAAGATATAGGCTACTGTTCCGCTTGCATAAAACCTCCCTTGAAGCAGTCCTGCCTACACGCCTCTCGGTATTTAAACTCACCCGAGCAGGCTGAGCGCCCCAGCACACCTTCATCTACGCTGCTAGTGCTTCCGAGGTTTCTCCTGGTGGAGGACTGTCTAACCCTCCGTTTTTTATTTTATTTTTTTAATCAATGTGCAGTTGTTTAGTTTTTATGATGCTTTTTAATTGTTTGACTGTGAGCCGCCTAAAGATGCCATGGTGCGATAAGCGGCATATAAATGTTTTAAATAAATAAATAAATAACCACTGTGAAAGGGATGGCGCACTGGAAGGAGTGTCCACTCTTGCAGGGGACTGAAAGCATAGCCATGGCATACTGCTGATGGGCCATTTCCCATGTGAGAGGCAGAACTGGTCGTGGCCGCCAAGCCCGGTTTCCCACCCTTTTATTTCTTGCTGAATTGCCAGCCCAAAGTCGACAGGAAAATCTTATTTGCAGTCTGGTCTCGTGGGATACATTTAGATTACTTTTCTAACTGCATTCGGCACAATGGTCCTCTCTTTTGCAGGTCTCAAAAAGGGCCAGTACTCTTTACCACCACGACACTCCCACTATTCAAAATGGGGCGAAATAGCGGACATTCCCGGGGTGGCTTCCCCTTAGCCTCACCAGGCAAATCCGCATGGAGTCCAACTGTTTGCTAAAATCTTAGGTCAAGGAGTTTGCCCGTTCACTGCTACTGCTGCAGAAAATGGCAGTCAAAAGGACTGGGCAACAAGCTCAGCCTTTTGTGGAAGGAAGACACTGTTTGGGCCTTTTGGGTTAGGAAACAGATGCATATGTGGCAGTGCATGATAGGGGTGAGGAAGATCTGGGGCCCAGTCCCCCATAGCCTGACTGGTGGCTTTGAGTCAGCTGCAGACCTTCAGTCTAACCCACCTTATAGCGTCCTTGTTGCGAGGATGAAATGGAGCTCTGTAAGCCATCTCTGAGTCCCTCACAAGAGGAAAGAAGGCAGGATATAAATGTAATGCAACAATACTGATTGCGTGTGTGCAGAAAGAGAGATTTTCTTCTACTCACATGATACCAGAACCTGGGATCACCCAACGAAGCTGATCTGCAGAAGGTAACAAGACGGATCAAAAGCAGCCCTTCATGCACCGCCTCGTTAAACTAAGGAATTTGCTGCCAACAAGAGAAGCGACGGCCACCGATTTGGACAGCTGCAAAAAGATACACGAGACAAATTCACAGAGCATAAAGTTCACAATGGCGACTAGTTTTGATGCATGTAACCACCAGTGCTGGAGGGCACACGTGTCGGCAGAGTCAGTTAAAACGGGCAAATCAGGAATGATCACAGCGACGCTTTTAAAGGCGGCACTGGAGACTGGAGGCCAGGAAAGCAACGCGGTGGCTTTCAACAAGCGGAGGGGCAGCTTGCTGGCTGAAGGCCTGTGGACTCGTCCCCAGTCTCTGATGGGGAACACAAACGGAGCAAGGTGGCATGCCCTTTGCTCCACCCAGGATGGCGCCACTATGTATATTCATCCGTTTGTAAATTGCACTACCTGCCACTTGTTCAAATACCGAAGTGCGCAATTATTTTTAACAAGATCACCTGCTTTTTATGTGCTAATACAGTATAAGGTAAAGGTTTCCCCTTGGCATTAAGTCCAGGCATGCCGGACTCGAGGGGGCGGTGCTCATCTCCGTTTCCTGGCCGAGGGAGCCGGCGTTTGTCCAGAGTCTCCATGGTCATGTGGCCGGCATGACTAAGCACCGAGGTGCACGGAACGCTGTTACCTGCCCACCGAAGTGGCACCTTTTCATCCACTTGCATTTGCATGCTTTCAAACTGCAAGGTTGGCAGGAGCTGGGACGGAGCAACGGGGACTCACCCCGCTGTGCAGATTCGAACCGGCCACCTTTCGATCAACCAGCACAGCAGCACCGCGGTTTCAACCACTGCGCCACCTGCAGTCCCTTAATACAGTATACAGGGACATAATGTCACTAGTGCTAAGGATCTTCTTGTATCATCGAAAAATCTGTAAGGTTTATCTTTTCCCCATCATTAAGGGGCAGTTTGGTTTCATTGCAGTAACACAATAAAAAAGTACTAAAAAGATTGTCTCCCCAGTGGATTTTTCTTACACATCCGAATTGGGCAGTAACAGAAACGTGAGCTGAAGTTACCTCTGAGGATTGCAACCTCCACAGCGGCTTCCTTTACCTTTCCAAAAATATAATCCCGAGTTGGATCTAGAACCGTGCAACCGGCAAGGGTCTTCTCACACACACCACTACCCCTCAATTCCACAGTGTCCCGCTGCCCCCCCGAGTAGCACTTCCAGGGCCTGTGGAGGATACAGGAGGCCATGGGGAGCTGTATTAGGCATCCTGCTTGCTGGCCGACCACCACTTGGCAACCTTCTCTCTCCACCCCTGCTGGATGGGAAACCTTTCCCTGAGCTCAACAGCTCACGGGTGCTATCAAGCGAATATACAACGTCCTGCAGTGGCGCCAGGCCATTTCCACCAAAACTGACCCAGGCCTGTCGTCCCCGGGACAGCACACTGCTCTGCAGGGGAACAAGCCAGCACTGGAGAGATAATTTCACACTCAAGAGTTCATTCATAACACAAACACACGCGCACCTGTGCCTGGATGCCCCTTTTTATTAGCGCTCTCATATCCATTTTTTAAAAATGATTGCAGAACATTCTTCCACCATCTGACAGTTAGAAAGTGGCATTTAAAATAATGGCAAGTGTTTTCAGTGACCTGTTTGAAAAGTGACATTTGGCTGCTGAAGTTTCTGTTCAGGACAGACACTTTTCACAAGTCAAATATTTTTCTTACAATCGAGATACTGCTAATGATTTTTTAAATAGCCTAATTTAGGTTGTTTGCTGGGAGGGAAAGAGGCTTTTTTGCGGATGGGAATCTATTTTCCTGAAATACTGAAAAATAGGTATTATTTTAATAGCAGGGTAGAGCTGTGAGCACAACTGGCTATTCTTCCCTGATCCTTCCCTGCCAGGGCATTTATTTCCCAAATAAAACGAGCTCATAACTTAGAGCATTCTGGTTTGCCAGCAAGTTGGAAGGTAGCAGGAAAATGTGTTTCAGATTAACACAGCCGGTGTGAGAGCAAGACCTGGCCTGAAACAGAGTGCTCCAGCCTGGCCATTCAAAACCAAGCGCCCTCCACGCATGCATGACTGCAACCCCGGGGGGGGGGGGGGCTACGGTCACAGTGCCACAAAGTTCCAGGGTGCTTGACTGGGGGAGGCTGCGTTACCTCATCGGGAAAACAAAAACATGTTTCATGCAAACTCATACAACTGATTTTTTTAAATGCTTCATGATAAAGACTTTGATTTAGAGCTAAGCCTGCTTTACTTTCACAGCAAAAACCAAGGTGATGCTAAGAATTTAAGCAGTGAGGAGACACCCATTCCCACACTCGGATGTTAACCTGCATTTTCCTTTGGCTTCAAGGGAAACGACCCATTATTTTCATTCCACGGAAAGAAGAAATTAAAAATCAATGTTACTGACATCTTCAGTAAGACATGAAAGGCATTAAAAAGAGGCTGGTGAAGAATTAATTTCCCTGGATTGCGTTGTATGTTTCAGTACTGTTCCAGCAGTAAGAGCCTTCCTACTCTTTCCTACTCTCTTACACCCTCAAGACAACTTTCCAAATGGCTGCATAGGTAACACGCTGGCTCAACTCGTTAAATGCAAACCTCTTTGCATGTAGCTGCTTAAAGCATTCTCGGCTGTCAATGGTAAAACCCGTGTGCATCATAGTATCAAAATATTTTACACCAATTCTAGCTTAGGTTGATTTCCTCACCACCAGCACCACCCATTTCACTAAGAGAGAAGCAAAACTTTGTGAGTTCTGCCATCCAGAACTTCAGAAACCAGAGGCTAAGTTCACAGACCAAAGTGACTGAGCCAGTTTATGAAGGGCTGGTTGGTGCACATTTGCTACCAAAATAAGAGGGAGGACAAGGACATTCAAAATCTCTGCCCTCTCTTTTATTGACCAGTGCTTGACCCTTCGAGGGAGGAAGAAGCACCGCCATCTCTGGGTGGCCCTAGTGGAATCCTACAAATTCTTCCAGTGCTTTCGGGATCTGGTTGCGATAGCTGATGTGATAAACACGCACAGCTCGAGCGGCCAGGCACTTCAGACTCAGTTTCATCTGAGTTTTCAGGAGTATTTCCGACACACCAGTGGTGCTTTTGTCAAGAGGGGTTTTCTTTTGTTTGTTAGTCATATCTGTATGAGCACCAGCCTCAACCAAGCTGATAATGATAGAGTGCAAGGTCAAAAAATCACTGATTGGCCGGTTGTACTGGACTATGACGTGCAGCGGAGTGTTCCCTTCGTTGTCCACCACGTTGACGTCCGCCCCGCAGTCCAAGAGGAGCTTTGTGACCAGTGCATTGGGGAAGCTGCAGACGTCATTGGTGTGAAAATCATCCACTGGTGTGCCGGAGTTGACCGCATGGTGCAGCAAGCTAGACCCGTCTCGTGTCCTGGGGTCGAGGTGAATCAAGTTATAAATCTGTTTGTTAATGCGGGACTGCTCCTCATCCCTACACTGGGTCTTGGTGGAGATGCACACCAAGTACAGGAAGGTGAAGATATTGCATTCATAGTTGTCCATGGCGGTGTGGAGCTCAGCGTCCTGAGAGCTTTTGACCCTGGCCATCCCCTGCTCTATCTCCAGGACGCTGCACCTCAGGACGCTCTCGATGTCCCTGGCCTTCACTGGCTCATTCAAGTGTATCATCTGGGAGAACACCTGAGCAAACCGGAGGAGGTCCTTATGGGTGTTCCGGTTGCCCTTCTGCCGCAAATGCAGGGCATGCAGCCAGAGCTTGATGCACTGTTCAAACTGCATGTTGTCCGCATAGACGGCCCCACGGTAAATGATCGGGTGGGAGACATCGATGTTGTCCGAGCCCAGAATGCGCTCCCGGACGATGAGGCCTTCCATGTGCAGGGCATCCCGGTCCTGCCGAATGGATTCCAGTTCCCGGGGAGTCCGGCATTCTGTGCGGTTGCCGTATGCTTCGATACGAGGCAAGACTTCCTTTTCTATAACGTCCTCGCTATGTTTGTACCGCTCGAGCATGGCTAAATACAAGTAGTGGTAGGTCTTCATGATGTCGTAGTTCTCCCGGTCGTTGGCAAAGGAGGCCCCCAGGAGCTCTAGTGCCTCTATCCTGCTCTTGCGGTCGCAGTCGGCGTGTGCCAGCAGCAGCTCAACCACGTCAGCTTTACAGCTCTCGGCGGCGACCTTTAAGGGCGTCATCCCGTGGCCGTTCACCATCATGGCGGACTTCCACTTCACCAGCTCGCGGACGATCTCCAAGTGGCCGGCCTCGGCCGCAAAGTGCAAGGCGGTGGCGCCACAGTGCGCTCTGGCGTTGGGGTCGGCATGCTGCTCCAGGAGGTAACGCACCACGTCCCCGTGGCCCTTGTAGGCCGCAATCATAAGGCAGGTGTTGTCATACTTGTTGGCGATGCTGATGTTGGCGTTGTTCTCCACCAGGTACTTCACGATGTTGAGCCTCCCGTCAAAGCAGGCGGCACGCAGCGGCGTGGAGTTGGTCACGGTCGTGTGGTTGACGTTGGCCCCGTGGCTGACCAGAAGCTTCACGACCTCAAAGTGCCCTGCCCCGGCTGCACACCACAGCGCAGTGGCGCCATCAATGACATAACTAGAGAGAGAGAGAGAGAGAGAGGAAGACGGGAAATTAGAACTGGTAGGCACCTTTTTGAAATAGCTTTGAAATAAGGTCCTCCAGCAGCTGAGAGTTGCTTGGCATGGAGAAGCAGTGCAGAAAGAGGAGAGGGTAGATTAGTCAGAACAGCCAGACAAAGTGCATGTCCTGGAGCGGAACAGGTACAGTGATGTGCTTACAGGAGACAAGTCCAAAGTCTAGGAAAGATCTTCCCAAACACTGGTATAATCCATTGATGATCCACTGATATGCAAGTCGGGATTCCTTCCCCCCCCCCACCCCCAATCAGATAACAGTAGCCATCAGGCAAGACTAACAACATCCAGGAAGAACTTGATATTAAATAATACATACATTAAAACATGGTTGTTCTGAACCACCCAGGCAGCGCTGGCTATCAGGCAGTATAGAAGCGTAATATATAAATACGTATTAATCAGATAGCTACATCGGCAGCCTTATTAAAAAAAAAAAGAAAAAAAGGTTATCTGCCCTCTTGGTTACCCAACAGGTATGCTCCCATAGGCCCAAATTCAATAGAAACGTCTCACGCCACTCGCATCTTAGATATGTACGTCTGGGTCAGAAGGGCCCAAGGACTCAGGAGGAACCATCACCCCAGTTTCAGGACTATATATGGAAAGCCCCAGCATGGCAGGAGCCGCCCAGTCACCTCCACGGCCAAAAAGGGGCGTGGTGGAAGCCAGGTTGCCTGTCACATCCTAGAACAGTGACCGGATACAGATGCCTTCCATCCACCCAGGTGTGCAGCTGGCACCCCAACACCTTAGGATGCTCCCTTGTGCTTCCAGGGGAGAGCACAGCGGGCTACCTTAAACTCAGTCAGAGAAAGACGACAGCAGTACTTTGGGCTGTAACACCTACTAGGAGGAAACATAGAAACAGAGCAAGTCAGAAGGGGTCTCCCGGGTCATCTAGTCTGACCCTCGGCTCCAGCCGGCTCCGCTCACGACACGCCCACCAGGCGGCAGCTTTTCAAACCATTTTAACCTGCCGTTCAGGGTTGAGTAAGGGAGCCCCGGCCAAATGGGGCAAGTGCACTTGCCACACGTACAGCTTTGAAAGTCCCATCTGGGGAGGCTCTTGCTGGAACACGTTGGGATGACGCCGCCGCGCTCAGTTGTAAAGGTGACTCAAAGGAAAGAAAGGAGCGCAGGCTGGAATCAGGGGATTCAACATGCCTATTATGGGACTGGAAGAGAACACCTTCACAACTACAGCACAGCTGCCTTGGGAGTCTTCTGCTCTGACTACTATCAGGTGTCTCTTTCAAAAATGCCGCAATCCTTCATTTTCCTCTCCTGGCCTACATCTAACTATGTAAAAGCACAGCAGCTGTTTTAAAAGAGAGGCTCTGGAGTTGCGCCCGGTGACTCCAACCCTGAATTAGCACTTCTCACACCTTCTACCCTCCCTGCCTAGAATCAACAAGTGACTGGTGGATCTGGACCACAAGCGAGGTACTTCAGCAAAACTCTTCATCTGCTCATCTGTGGAACCTATGGAAGTGGACTGGGGCCATGAAAGCTCATGCCATATTCAGCCGGTTAGTGGGTAAGGGGCTGCAATCGTCTTTGCCATTTGTCTGTGTAAATCTAATTCAAGCTGATGCAATAGAAGCAAACTCAGTGAACAGTCATTGTACCCACCCTCTAATCTGAACTGAAGTTCAACTCTGACAACCATACTTGATGTTCCCTGGTAATTTTCATAAGGTAGGCGGTTGACTTCTGATCTCCAACTGAGGTATGACCAACTGTTTAGTCCCCGCCAAATAAATAGTTCTGACATAGTTTCTAGAAATACTGTGGGATTGAATTAAAATCATTTTCCACCAAAAGCCAGTTAGGCTTCCCTGTCTAATTTATCCCAAACCTGAAGTGCTGTGATACCTGGTTTGTTTCAACAGGCACCAAAGGCAGCTGGGAGGCCTGCCTGGGCAGTGTGGACAGTCTAGGCTCCTTCCCTTTGATGTCTGTCCCATAGCACTCAGCAGCCCGACCCCTCAGCGATGTCACAGAAAGAAATTATCAAGTGACCAAGCAAAAGAAACACAGCCGCTGCTACAGAGAGGAGATGTGCCTCAAAACCAGTTTCATAAGCTTGAGCAGCCTGTGCCCCCCCCCCATAATGTTGCTAGCCTTCAGAAACTTGGAAGGAAAACTACTTTCACAGCTAAGAACTTCAGTTTTGCCCTAAGGCCTCCTGAGCACTCTTGTCCCAATTTGCAATACTGCCAGAAGAACTGATCCAAAACTGACAGGCACAAGGCCCCGAAATGTGTCTTGAACTTTTCAGCTGAAGCTTTTGAGCCAGTTTTCAGATATATTCCATTTTTATCTGGACATGCGGAATCTGAAGCACAATAATACCCCCTGATGGATTACAACATAGTCCTCAAACAATTGAAGCTCTGCGCATGAGAAGGAAGTGGGGCCCATGAACACTCATACACCAGGCACGGGCAAATGCAAAAGGAAAGCCTAAGCACAGAGACCTCGGTCCCACCGGGCACACTCTGCGGTAGGTGTCACAATTCAATACAGCACAAAATGCGCTGGCTTTCCTTCAGTCACCCATGCTCAAAATGCAGCTGGCAGGAGCAACAGTCCAGCCCTGCAGCCTCCTAACAGGTGGGGGCCCTTAAAGAGTAGCACATGCAGGGAGTCAAGGTTCCGAGGCAACATCTTCAGACAAAGAATGTGATTCAGCCATGGCCTTCAATAGCTCTGTCTGCTGCACCTGGTAAAGTTAGACACCATGTGCCGTGGTAAGTTCACCTTTAAGAGATGCAAGGCTATTTCACAGATGAGGAATCTATTTGGACATAACACTCCCTGCAGCCTCCTCTACTGGCTGGGATCAGGGCAGTGGAAGATCCCTAGCTCACCCAACAGCAATGCACTGGGGGGGGGGGGATGACAAAATGCAAAACCAGCACCACTTAGTCAGCGACTGGAAGGAGAAGCACTTGTGCGCACCCACTCCTGAAGCATGCAGCTGGGCCCAGCTGGCCAAGCTGTCCTAAAAGCTGGGCTGTACAGATACCCTTTTCACCAAGTATGCATTCGCCAAATGCAGCAGAGCACGGCTGCAGGGATCTGTGGGAAGGGGCAGCAAATGCACAGCCTGGCCTCAGGGCCTGCAGCTGTTGCCTCCTGACAGAGTCCTAGGGTTCCCAGGGAGCGCGCACCGCCTGGCTTGGGCCAATCAATCGCGCAAATGCTGCCACCTACCGCCTCGCTTTCACGGAGGGAGACGGCCGCAGCACCGGCCTGACGCCTCCAAGCCAAGCAACCGTCCCGGAAGCCTGCTGCCCTCCCCTCAACCGGAGAAACCCGCGGCCCCCGGACGAGCATACCCACCCGTCGAAACGGACGGTGCCGGTCTGCTGGGTCTGCACGCGGTAGTGCTCCAGGAGCAGGCGCACGACTTTGGCGTGCCCGTTGCGGGCGGCGATGATGAGCGGGGTCGAGCGCTGCCCACCCTGGTGGGTGACGTAGCCCAGCAGGTAGCGGATGTCGCTCTCGGAGCGGTTCAGCAGCAGGGCGGCCAAGGTCAGGACCCGGCCCTCGCTGGCCGCCTTGTACACGTAGCCGGCCAGGCTCTCCATGGCGACCTGCTCCTGCCGGGACCGCCAGCGCCCCGCGACGCCCTCCCCAGCCGGCGCCAGGGCCGGGCCGGGCTCGTCCGCTTCCGCCTCCCCCGTGGCCCCGCAGCGGGGAGGGGCATGCGGGCCGACCCCCGTGGGGTCAGCGGGGGCACCGGGGCTTCTCGTCGTCCTGCCGTTCGCCGCCACCGCCGCGCGCTCGGCTCAGGCTGCCTGCGCCGCGCCAGAGGAGCAGACGCGGGAGGCCGCGGCCCCCATGCCCGCGGCCGGGCCGCGCTCGGCCCCGTTCCGCTCCCGGGGGCTCCGCGACCACGGGCCCGCCCCAGGCGGCCGCAACTCCCCGCCGCTCGGCCCCGCGGCGTCCCGGAGCAGAGGCGCGGACGCCGCACTCGGGCCCGGAGAGCCTCAGCGGAGCGCCACGAAAGAGCGACGGAGGCCGCCTGGCATCGCTACGGGTCCCCGGAAGGCTCACGGCACGCCGCTGCGCGCTGCAACGGGCAAGTCGGCGTAGGAGGCTACGGGCCGCCGGAGGGGTCCTTTCTAGCCGCCTGGTCGGCTTTCGCGTCGCTCCGACTTCCTCCCAGCCGGAGCCGAGGTTCCCGGAAGTTGCCCGGGTGCACTTGGAACCGCCGTCGTGCGGGAACTGCGCCCCAGAGAAGGACCGTTCCGAGGGGAAGCAAGGAGGGAGGGCGAGACCGGCTGGAGAGTCCCGCTGAACCCCGTGCCTTGCTGCGACGAAGCCTCAGATGTCGGAAAAACCGTGGCTTTATTCCAGGAAATCGCCCCGTGTGGTTTTGCCCTGGGTGAGTGTGTGTCCCGCCCAACAGTCTCTGAAAAGGTCGTCACCAAGATCAGTGCTGCAGCTGGAGGGGCTAAAATTCCAGCCTGCTCCTTGGAATAAAACCACACCTGTTTTTTCGGCATCCTGCCGCTTTGTCTCTTTAGCGCATCGGATCCTTTGGGACCTTCTTCTACTTTGCCTCACCCACTGAAAGCGCCTGCTGCCACCTTCGCAACCAACCTCTGCGTGCTTTCCAGTGGCAGCCCCAGATGTGATCCAGATGTTCCCAGGGCATGAATAGCTATGACAAGGCTGCCAGCGGGCACAGCTGGTGCACGGGAGGAAAGCTCTTCCTCTCTGGACCTTTCCCGGTAGTTTTAGCAAGGCACACGGAGCACGATTGCTTCTGAGTAAGTACAAGAGCCCACCACGTGCTCTTTGTGTGTATTTGGTAACAATAACTGTGTTATTGTGCGCCTTTCCATTTGGCATTCTTCGTGCTCCTGGCTAGGCAAAAGTGTGTTTGGCACCCTCTCCTTATCCCCTTCGGAGGAGACCTGAATAAGGACTTGTGCCCACTTCAGCACCCTCATGTTATCTGCTTTTACAAGGTTCTCTTTCACACACACACGCCCTCCAACAGTGCAAGGGTTCAAGAGCTCGGGCTGGACTCACCACGTTTACAGACCATGGCATTTAGAAATCCGTTTGTGGATGGAGGTGAGGAAAGGGGATGAAAAGGCTGCGGAAGCAGGGGGCAGTAAGCCCTGTGTGTGCGCCCTTCTAGCAAGGCCCCACTGTGCTTGGTGAAGGAGGGGCAGGGCGGAGCATGTGAGGACTGCCTGCTTCTCACAACTTCCCAGCTTCTGCTCCTGTGCAAATAGTCCTGCCCATTCGGCAGGGCAGTCCACCTTTCCATACCTTGAGGGCCGTGCGAGGGCCACGAGAGGACTTCAACGGGGAACGCGGGGGGGGGGGCTGCACAATGAATTGCATTTCCACGTTTGCCTTGTTGAGATCCAGACTTGGGGGCTCCACGGGGCAAGAGGGCTGCAGAACAAGGCCTCGGGGGACACAAGTTGGACCACCCCGGCCTCGGGGTTGCATGACTGATAGTAAAGTCTCAGCATTTGTCAGATAAACATTCCACTGTCTTGAAGTCTGAAGCAAGGAAGGGCCCAATCCTAGGCACTTTTAGCAAAAATAATGCTGGGGGTTGTAGGACTTTTTCTCTCTGAATGTTCAAAGCACTGCACCCTATGACAACAACACTGGGCATGTCCGCTCAGAAGAAAATTCAGTGGGACTTCCTCCCAGCAGCCTTCTCCCATCTGCTGGCTGAGGATGATGGGGGTTGTACTGCAACACATCTGGAGGCCACAAAGTTGTGACCCAAATGTGAGGTCCAACCCAGAATCTTTCTAAGTTTGAATCAAGGAAAAAATCCTGGAAACATCTTGCGGGCATCTCCCCCTTTGTAATGTAAACTGCTTTTGACATCTGGACCAGTTTCACATGCCAGATGTTGCAGGCCGGGGCTGGTTTGATCGCGCCTTCTGCAGTTTTCTTTCTGCAGAAAACCCAGGCCAGGACGTTGCCCCTTGCCGCCTCTCTCCTTGTCTCTCACAAAGCCCACCATCATCCCGATGAGCCATTTAGCCCAGCCAGCTGGCACGGCCTGCAATGCAATCCTGCTAATGGGACCGGGGGCTTGCAGGGTGCAATTGTTTTGCAGCGGTCTCAGTGGCAACATAATGAATAGTTAATTGAACACCGTGCAATTGGAGCTGCTCCCACCTGTGGAAACTCTAGACGGGCCCCTCCATCCATTATGCATTGGCCTGATCCTGTCCCTGATTGCCCAGAAAAGAGCCAAGATCACAGCATTTGTGCGTATTTCGCCCCCTGACCTGAGGCTCTGGCCTTCGTCCCTCCCCCCCCCCCCCCCCCCCCCCCCCCCCGGCTCCCTTTCGGTGTGTTTTTTACTTACTACAACACACCAACAAAACAAAAACAAAATCACAACACCAGCGTTGACGGGCATAACC